AGTTGCGATTATTGAATTATAATCCGCCGGCGCGAGCGCAGATAGATGTAGCAAAAAAGTGAAAACGGCGCATTAAGGCATTATATGCATTACAGGCGCATTATGTAATATTAATATAATTATTTACACGTGGACAAAAGAAAATAAAAAGCGTTGCGAATCGCGCCCGGCATTACATTATCATTGATAGATAAATAAATGAAAGACTAACACGCCGGGCACCGGGAGGTGTCATTACAGTTAGTGTGTCATTGTCAGCGCAATTGTTGGTCATTTGTCCAATTATCTTCATCGACATGCAATAAGTTTACAAAGTTTACTCGAATTTATCAATAAAATTTTTAAAAATGGTTTAAATTTTACTCCTAATGTAAAATATTTAATATAATAATATTTAAGAGGATTATATTAATTTATTTTTAGATATTTAAATTAAAAATTAATGATGTAGAAGTTCCCGACGCCGTCGCGCGCCATTTTCCCCCTAATTGCGCATTACGACCGATTCAACAATGAACGCACCACGCTAATGCGAAAACGATTGAGTAATTTTATGCGTTATTTCATTTCGTCTGGATGCAAACCACTACTACTACTACTACTACTACTAGAAGAAACAAGCGACGAGCAAAGAATATTATTGAGTAACGTGAAGAAATGTCACGTTCAATCTGCGATAATCGCAATAAAATTGCGACATTTCGCCGTTTTAAAGTGAAATAAATCATTCGGCACGAGCGGCGGACACCTTAAATTCATATTTATCGTCGGTTTATTTAAATCACTCGTGTTTGAGTGCCAATAAACTTTGAAACAACGAATATATTACTTATAAATTTTCTTTCATGTAGAAAATAAAATAGAAAATAAAAATGTGGCGATCATTTCATTGTTTTTAATGACAATAAAATGTTATTACACATTAAAAATTCTTCTAATTATTAAACTAAATAAGACTTAACATATTTGTTGTATGTTTGTCGTTTTTATTTTATTTCTATTGAATAACAGATGAAAAATTCATTTTTGAATCATTTTTATCATTTTAACAATCATTAATAGCATTAATAATCTAATGAAAAGTGCATATAAGTGCAGAATAAATCAGAGAAAAGTAATATTATTTTGTAATTACTATATTATTATAAAAAATGCTATAAACAATGCTATAAAAGGTAAATTTTCAATTTAATTGAAAAAGAATGGAATTTGATAGATAATTGCACTTTAACTCTTCATAAAACATTGTTATCAATAAATCTGAACATGGAAAGATTCAAAATTAAATACTGAATAAGTTATAACAAAATTATGGATATGATTTAATTAGTTGAGATGTAATTCATAAATTATTAAAACTATAAAGCTATAAATATTCTCGCGTCGAAATTAATAACTTGTATAACCACCGAAAGTAATATGCATAAGTTAAAAATGGCAAATAAAACGAAAAATTGTCCGTTAACCAGATTGTTATGCCATTAGCTTAAAACACATTGAATCCGCCCAAACTACGACTTTCTACTTGACCAAGTATCAAGCTTCCATTCGTATATTCACCGTTCAATATTTCTGAATAATTAAATAAAATATTGTATTAAACTACTAATGCTAAGTATAATAATTTCTATTGTTTCAACCAATAATAGCGTACATTGTCCTCGTACACGGCATCCTAAGATGTTTTACGTGTTTGACCGCGTAACGCAAATCAAAAGTGTAAATATACGCGCCGCATAAACAATTTGTAAATCGCGCGCTCGTCAAATTTGGGACAAGTCCGCATTCTTTCGGTGTGTGTACGATTTTTTTTGCTTCTCGTCGTGCGTGGAATTTCACTTTCAACCGAGTGTGCCACAAAACAATCTAATGTCAAACGCAAATATTTGCGCGTTACATAAAACAACGACATAGAAAAAAATCAAAAAAAGAAAGAAAAAAATCAATAAATTCACCTGTGTAAGCAATTCCATGAATGAATAAATAAATAAACATTTTATTCTGTTTCTTAACTACACGAGTAATTAAAATTCTTATTGCATTGCATCCAGTGCGAAAATGTATGCAATGAAACAGAAAAAAACGGCACTTGCTTGAGAAAGTTTAGCAACAACAAGTCTTGATCAAATTACGTACCAACGGAGATGCTGTCTGTGAATTGGCATCAACTCATCGATTATATAACAAGAAAAAACGTACGCTGACGAGAAGAGAGCGAGTAATTGCAGGTAATTCGGTAATCGGTCAATAACAGCTCTGCAAAATTAACTTGAATGAAACCTGCCGCAGTAATTTCACATTAAAATAAATTCACGTTCACATCAAAAAGGCGGTTGTGATTCTGCAAGAACAACTGCAAAAAATAATGCTAATCACATTTAAAGAACAATACAACGAATAAATTCGGCAAATTTCACTCCGACACTCTTCTCAAATTAATTATTAATTCAAGTGAGTTGAGTAAGTACCCACTTAGTTAGTGTCAAACAAGTGTAAGGTTTGTTTAACTCGTGTGACCCACTTGTGGGGGAGCAAGGCCACTCTCACTCTGAGAAAGAACCGAAGACCGATTCATGTAATCACGCTTGGTTGATTCACATTTAAACAAAAAAATCAAAAAAATCGATAATTACAGATCATGTATCATCAAAAAACCTTGAAAAGTTCATCCATCACGCTAATTCAAAAGAAAATTCAACATTTGACCTCAGACACTTAACCGTAAGAAAGTTACAGTGTAATTACTTTAAACTTGACTCAAAATTTTCATTCAAAGCGTTTTATAATGATATTCATTACACATGTTAAAAAACATGTTAAAGCACTTAAATCTCCGAATGATACAGTGTCTTGGCGTGGCGGATAATTGTCATTGCGTTGAAATTGTGCAACAAGTTCTTGAACACACACGAATATCATCAAAATCGAACCTTGACATGCAGGAAATCGTTAGCACTCAGCGCCGAAAAATGTTTGCGCATGCGCACACAAAAGAGGCATTCAAGTACGTAAAAGTTTTGACACAAAAAGTGACGATTCATAAAGCTTTTACTTAATAAACAGCGAAAAGTCACACTATGGACCTTGGTTACTTGGTTGCGGGTCATTCAAACTATAAAATCATAAAAATCCAAGTGTTTAGAGCCTGTTATGTCATTGAATGTGTTGTAATTTGTAATAAAACAAAGAAAATTAATATTTTTTTAAGTAAAGTTATGAATTAATTATGTTAAAATGATAAAACGTTCAAAAAATGATTTTTTGTTTGTTTTACATGAAAAAAGATTAAATGTTTGTTGTGTTTTCTTTGTACACTTGTACAACTAGAGTTTTTCAAGTTTGCGAAATTAAGTGTGCTGTTTGCATAGAATTCCTGACATATTGGCTTATTGGGCGGCTGGCGTGCGGCGCGTGCGTTTAAAAGAAAGTTCAGACGAAGACGGCGCGCGCGAGAAAGTCCACTTGCGCGATCGCTTTCTTTCTATTTCTATGCGTATCAAGTCTCTCCAGAAGTTAGGCGCGACTCCACATTACGATATTAGCGCAATCGCAATCGGCGCGCAAGCGCATTGCCGCATTAAGCCGCTGCTATCAGCGATATATCACATTTTTGCGCGCGCGCACACACACACAAACGATTTATTTATATTCCGACTGCATGTTTCGCGTGCATCGGAATGCGTGTAATTCCGTGGACGTATTAAGTGCACGCACACACGGCTTAATTACGCGCCTGTTAGCCACTCGGCGTTTTAATTATTATAATACCATAATAACGCACTTAGTGAACAGACTAAACAGACTGAGCATAGAAAACAATATCGTAAAGATTTTTCGACGTATTTTCATTTAAACTCAAATATTTCCAATGCGATAAAAGTAATTGAACACGTGTGCAATTAAATTGCATTGAAAAAACTTTCTACTGCATTTTATTCGGAAAGCAATTTTTTATTGAAAAATGAAATTCGCGGTTGACTGTATGCAACCAAATCAACATTTTCACTTGTTGCGCGTTGAAAAACTTCAAAAACAACGCGCGTTGTTTAAAATTTTGATTTGAATATGAATCCACTAATAAAGAATGTCAAAACGGACAAATATTTATTCCATAATGCAATGAAAGACAACTTTTACTTTTTATTATGCGGCTAAAATTTGAATTTCGTTTGAATAAAACGTCGAAAACGTTTGTTAACACGAATTTCATTCGCGTATTTTTATTGTGGTTTGATGTGTACATAAGCAATAAAAGTAAAACTGAATCCGTTTGTGATCCGACATTGAAAGCGTTTTCTTTGCGCATTTCTTCCGATTCGGGTGCGCGTTTTCGTGCAAAACGTTTCTAGTCTACTAATCGCCCTAACAAGCGACGTGTGTAAAAATTTATTAAACACATCGCATCACCACGCGCGCAACTTTCAAACGATTTCGATTTTGTTATTAATACACGCGGTGAAACTCTCCCTCAAACTTAAAATCTGGGTGTAAACGTTTAAATTTTTGTTTCTGCAGCGGATATTACTGTTAATTCAAAAATAACGCGTAAAATTCAACGAATTTCATGTGGTTTCGTATTTTTGATTAATGCCAACTTAATTTTTATTTAAAATATGTTATTTGTTTCTTGCGGCTGTTAGCAATTGGCGAAATAATAAGAAATGCGTTTGCGAGACGAACGCTACATCGGCAAATATTCATTACAAGCACAGTGATAGTGAAATGAAATTCCAAGAAATTTCTCTTCACTTTCTTCAACCTTTTTTGTTTATAACACATTTGTGTGCGCCATTTTACACCAGGTGTTTTGCTCAAATATGTGATAAACACTTACTTAGAATATTACAACTGAATCGATTAAACTTGAAACAATTTTCTGTCAAATTTTGTGTTGGTTTGATTTAAGGTCAAAGGGCACACGCGTAATGTTGGTTGCATAATATACGCAAAAAAATTTAAATCAGTGTAAAGTTTGAGTAAATGTTTAAGGGATGATTTACCTGTGGTTGGTCGTAGGCGAAGGGTATCCGGAAGGGCTTGAATCCGACACTGGCGGCGTTTTGCACTAGCGATGTCGCCGCCGCCGTCGTCGTGGAGGCGGCGCGGCGCCGCGACGCCTGTGCATGCCCCCACTGGCACAACAACAATTTCTCCTGCACGCGAACGCACAACCTACTCGACCCAGCGCAAGCCATCGCTAAGACTGATGTGGCGCGCGGCGAGGAAGAGACTCGCGCGACTTGCCGACGACCCGCCGCTGCGTCCCCTCTTGAGGCGCGCACTCAGCTGATCGCCCCGTCGCCGCCGTCACCACCCGTCACCTGAGACTCGCGCAGCACGCTGCTGCTGCTCGCTTGGAATTTTTCGGCGGATTTCACTGGAATATTATGGCCGGCCTGCTGCGCAACGTTCACCTCGCCCTGCGGAGGCTCGAGCTGCACATCGCGAACGCGCTCGCCCGACAATTTCCACCAGGTGGGTAATGTTAGAAATTATGTAATGGTTGCAAGCCCAGCACGACGAGCATGCTGACCTAACCCTACTTTTTTGACAACTCGCAAACAAATTACCAACAAATGGCATTTTCATCGAGATAACAATATAAATTAAACTAGGATTAATGCTTATGTATTTTTAAATATTTACCATCAAATTGCACGAAATTTTGCTTTTAATTTATCTTTAGAACGTTAATTAGTACCAAAATAATAAAAGCAGCTCAAATTATTATCTAATTTTATTAGTTACAAACTGCAAAACCATTGTTCAGAAGAATATTGCTCATGTGCAATGCTTAGAGGAATTTGCAACAATTAAAATTTGTGTTAAAACAAAAATATGATTCTATAATGCCTAACATTTCAAGCAGTAACAACTTTCACCTATGTAATAGGTAATTATGCTATAAAAGGTGCCCAATTAATAAATTTTTGATTTTTAGCTAGTTATTTTGTAATTTTATAATTTTGGGGTAGAAATTTGCATTTAAACATGTTCTCAGCATACCACAAGATACAAAAATTAATTATTTGCTTGCTTTCTACTTCTTTTTAACATCTAAAAGTGTCTTATAACATTTTATGATTTATTTAGATCAGTTACATACAAAATTGTTAGTAAAATGAATAATTATTAATATTTTATGCTGATTAATAAATATACTTATATTATATTTTAATATTTCAGAAGCTTATGCATTAAATGTGTTACATCTTGATGATACACCAACAAAACAAGGAAAATCATTCAGTTTAAAGGATATACTTAATGATGCATTCCTATACGCCGTGCCTAAGCATCGCAGGTCTCTAGAAAAACGCCAAAAACGTCGATTTGGCCTCCCAGAGTACAACTGGAAAATGTTATCACCGAAAACCAACATTCGAACTTGCAACGTATGTGGGGATGACCATGAAGCTGGTAAACTGTGCCGTAAGTTTACATTTCTGTACACAAAAAGAATTAAATTAATTAAAACTCTGTTATTTGTGCAGCTACTTGTTATAGCAAAGTCATAGAAGAAACAAAACGAATGCAAGACAAAATCCAAGCCGAATTGAAACTGGAGCCGGTTGAAAAAGAAGTCGTTGTGCTTTACGAAGGCGAGAAAGATGATAAACCAGCTGAATTCTGGAAGGGTAAGCGGATTGTCGAGATGGAAACCACACGTCCTGCTTGGTTTAGTAAGAATTTAACTGAAAAGACAACACAGCAACCAGCTACGACCAAAGATGTCAAACCGAATCAATTGGGATAAATATGTTCAAGTAGTATTATAGTTTTCATCAACTTTAAATCAAATATATCAATAATAATTGGTACAAAAGTGAATATTTTTTATTTGAGAGTGATTTATAACTTGAGTTTTCCAAAACATCTTAAATATTATTAAGTACCTAGTATAGCGTACAGTAAGTGTTTACTTAACTTTACTTAGTAAGTACCTAGTAAATAAAAACATTTTCTTCAAAAAGGTAAAAAGGAACAGTTCAGACGCCATTTTGTGATTTTTGCCTAGATGTCATAAAAATTTGCAGAATTGGACGTAATTTTAACTAAATTAGGAACAAAATCATTGTTACAATAAGGTTTTAATAATTTTTTAGCTGATTTACTGAATTAACGCATTCAAAAATAGAAAAAACAGCAGTTCGAGCGGTAGAAGACGGCCATTTTGTTATTTAGAAATATTTTTCATAGTTTTCAGTGCTTCAAAGTGATAGAAATTATATAAAAACACAACTGCCATAAAATTCCACCTTAACATCCGAAAACATGCAATAAATAAATACAATTTACTCATATTAATCATAACCTTAACAGATTATTGTCTAAAAAATGTTCCTCCACATGCCGCGTAAACACATCGAAATCCACATCAAAGTGAAATTTCTGATTGCACATTGGACAAATCTTATCACTATTCCTATCCAGCTTCAAGGAACTATCCGGTGTACCCCAATGTTGTTGTTCAGATATTTTACTCTCCTCCTTTTCTTTTTCTTTCGCCAATTCCCTTTCTTCATCTTCAATGTTAACTTGAATGGTTTTTGTCGCGCATCGCTCCAATTTCCTCTTCTCTTGCAATTCTTTGCTTGTTTCTAAATCTAATTTATGTATTATCAAATGATCCACAGATGTCCTCAACTTGTCATTATGATGTGTGAGCATTACTTTAATATTCTTCAAATCAATCAAATGCTGTTCAATGCAATCACTCAGTGAATCATCAATATCTTCATCTTCTAGATAATTAAATCCTAGGGAATCCAAGCTGCCTTCTAGGCTAGTTATGTCTATTTCTGGCACAGCCACATCTTCATTTATGTGATTTGCTTCATCATTTTGTAGTTTTAATGAAATATCTTCTAGTTCTAAGCTGACTTTATCATTCTCTGATAAAACCTTATGTAGATGTTTGGTATGAGGTGCTTCTTGTGTGAAAGTCCTGGATCTTATCAGAGGCATGTGAGTCTTTTCATTTGGGCTTAGATTGTCTATTTTGGAACCAAAAGACTTGCTGTCATGGGTTAATCTGGAAAGACTTGACCACAGCTGTTTATTCTCTGATGCAACCATTGTTATGGTGTTTTTCAGTTGGTTTCTCTCTTCTGTTAGCTTGGAGACTTTAATTTCTAGTGAATTATGTGAGATATTGTCATGGATTTGTGGTGAGTTGGCTTTTAGTGCAATGTTTTCTTCTTGTAATGTGGCTACTCTCTTCTGCAGCTGCATACACCTTTCTTTCATTGTTTGTAGCGCCAATTGGAGGGCATAATTACTGTTAGGTACTGGGCAATCATCCATTATTAATTATTTACTAGAAGTATACATTTCTTTAAAAGAGCCCTTAAGTTCTGCTTGGTTTGTTTTCACTACTTTGGACAAGGATGTGGTTAGATGTCAAACATATTCAAGTATGACACACATTTTAAAACTTTAATTTTTAGCAGAAAATTAAGTTAAAATACAAATTTTTTGTATGATTTATTGCTATTAGCTATTAAACTACTTATTTATAATTTAATAACTTAATATGCTTTTATTTTAAGTTTAATACTTATATTTTTAAACATATATATTTGAGGTTTGACAGATTTACCAGCTGACAAGGTTGTAATTGTGCTAGAGTAGTGGGTGTTCTCGGTGCTCAGGTGTTTTTCGTTAATTGACGATAAATAAATAGCATACCTTGTACTATGTATCAGTTAGAACTATTTATCTTAACGTACAAACAATGTAAAAATGAGTCATAACCGCGTTTTGTAACAGTGGTGCTAAAAATTGTGGACACTGAAGAATCCATGACTGGAAAATGTTTGTTCTGAGCTTAATTCACATTGTCTGCTTATTCTTTTGTTTCAACAACATCAATGGTGAGTTTTACTTATTCATATTATTTAACTACAATATTATCTTGATTCTTTAATATAATTTCAGCTTCGATTCATGATAACATCAAATATTTTGAGACAATTCATGCTGATCAAGTGAAACACACAATAGTAAAAAGGGGTTTGAAGGAGAGTAATCATCCATACAACAAAATCAAAGAAATTAACTTTTCTGCACTTGGTCAGGACTTCAGGGTGATACTTACACCAAAAAGAGGTGTTCTGCATCCAAAATTCAAAGCTTACAGTGTGGATGGAGATGGGAAGGAAACAACTATTCATTTAGGTAATAATTAACTTGTATTTTAATAAAAATTTTAAGTAAAACAACATTTTAGATCATGATCAATTTTTTGATGGAAGAGTTTTTGGTGAAAAGGATTCACATGCAAGTTTCCACATTAATGATGGTGTCATGACAGGAACAATTCATTTGTCTGATGAGACATATCACTTTGAGGTAAACAATAACTACTAAAACTCATATAATAATCAAACTATTTACTGAATTGTGCAATTGTTTTGCAGCCATCTTGGCGTCATATTTCGCATCTAGACAATCGCTCAATGATCGCATACAAAGCCTCAGATGTGCAATTTAGTTGGGATAAAGACCACAGACATGGACATGCACATCCACACGGCGCCCCCGGTCCGAAAACTTGTGGATATGTTAAAGAAGGAGAAGAATTAGAGGAAGATGATGATGAAGATGATGAACCGCAGCCAAGTCCGTGGACGGAAGCATTACATCAGTCGAAACAGGAACGAAAAAAGCGACAAATTGATCAATATGAATACACACCAACCAAAACAAGATGTCCACTACTACTGGTAGCAGATTATAGATTCTTCCAAGAGATGGGAGGCAGTAATACCAAGACAACTATTAATTACTTGGTAAATATGATTTTAATTCGTTTTAAATTAAAAATTAAAAAATTGGGGTTTAGATTAGTTTAATTGATCGTGTGCACAAAATCTACAACGATACAACATGGCAAGACCGGCAGGAAACAGACGGTTTCAAAGGGATGGGTTTTGTTATCAAAAAGATTGTGGTTCACAGTGAACCGACGCATGTTCGACCTGGAGATGCTCATTATAACATGGTTCGTGACAAGTGGGACGTCAGAAATCTGTTAGAGGTATAAAAATAACTAAAAATCACATTTTGAAGACTAATTTGATTGTATTTGGTTTTTATTTTTGTTTGACTGATGTTTATTTAATTTAGTTGTTCTCACGCGAGAGGGCGAACAAGGGCTGTTGCTTAGCGCACTTGTTCACGCACCAGACGTTCCGCGCACGAGACTCGGTCGTTTTGGGCCTAGCATACATTGCATCCCCGAGGTTAAACTCGCACGGCGGCATTTGTAGTCACGGTTAATATTATTTCATTTATTTTCTTATCGAAAAACAATTGAAGTTTCATTGGTAATCTATTTTTATAAGTTTCAATTGTTTTTCATCGCTTTTTTCATATAATTCTTGTAGATATTAACATTATTAACATATTAACATGTTTCTATGGCTTTTGTGCTGCTAATCGGTGCGGTGGTGAAGGTATTTAGTCGTGAGTACAGTCACAAAGATTTCTGTCTTGCGCATCTCTTTACCGACCTGAAATTTGAGGGCGGCATCTTGGGCTTGGCTTATGTGGGCTCGCCGAGGAGGAATTCAGTCGGTGGTATTTGCACTCCAGGTACCACCTAATGCATAACATAAACATAAAATAATCAAAATAAGTTAAAAGTAATTTTTAACATTTTCAATATAAATTTACAGAATACTTCAAAAATGGTTACACTCTCTACTTAAACTCTGGTCTGAGCTCATCACGAAATCATTACGGACAAAGAGTCATAACACGTGAAGCTGATTTAGTCACAGCGCACGAGTTCGGTCATAATTGGGGCTCGGAACATGACCCGGACGTTCCGGAATGTTCTCCAAGTGCTAGTCAAGGCGGGTCATACTTGATGTATACCTACAGTGTGAGCGGATATGACGTAAACAATAAAAAGTTTTCGCCGTGCAGTCTTAGATCGATTAAGAAAGTCCTGCAGGCAAAGTCGGGACGGTGTTTCTCTGAACCCGAAGAGAGTTTCTGCGGTAATTTGCGAGTTGAAGGTGATGAAGAATGCGATGCTGGTTTGCTGGGCACGGAGGATAATGACGCATGTTGTGATAAAGAGTGTAAATTGCGGCGTAACCAAGGAGCGGTTTGCAGTGATAAGAATTCACCATGTTGTCAGAATTGCCAGTTTATGATGAAGGGGATTAAATGTCGCGAAGCGCAGTATGCAACCTGTGAACAGGAGTCAAGATGTACAGGTTCCACAGCGGATTGTCCGAAAAGTCCAGCAATGGCGGATCAAACCGATTGCCAAGAACGAGGCAAGTGTAGGAATGGTAAATGTACACCTTACTGCGAGACGCAGGGGCTGCAAAGTTGTATGTGTGATATAAGTACGTATAATTATCATTATTCCAGGTGCAATTGTTAATATTTATAATATTTACCATTTTTACAGTTGAAAACGCCTGCAAACGTTGCTGTCGAACAAACATGAATGAAACATGCTTCCCTGTTGAACCCGCTGACATTCTCCCCGATGGCACTCCTTGTATCCAAGGATTCTGTAACAAAGGCAACTGTGAGAAGACAATTCAGGACGTTGTGGAGCGATTTTGGGACATCATTGAAGACATCAACATCAACAAAGTGTTGCTATTTTTGCGCGATAATATCGTCGGCACAATAGTGCTGGTAACAGCGCTAATATGGATTCCAGCTAGTTGTATTGTAAATTATGTTGATCACAAGCGCCGAAAGGAAGATATGAAGAGGAGAGAATGGAAGCGGCGCAGCGAGTTGATTCATCCAATGGACAGCAAGCGTGTTTTGAATATTACAGTACCTGCGCAGAGGCAGCCAATGCAGATGAGATCAAATGAATGAATACGTAACTTAATAAGTAATGAAGTTAAATATTTATTACCTCAAGTTTCATTTTCTACTAGATTAAGCAGTTTCTTTGTTGTACATTACCAGTTATGTGTGTAAATTGTTTAGTTTATCAGTATTGATGTCACCTAATGTAGTTCATACATGTTACTGTGCAGTGAAGTCATTTTTCTTACCATTATTAACCAAAAACTGTCGTATGCATTGAAATTAACGTAATTGTTACGAAATATACATCATCTATACAGTACAATTAAATTAATTTCTTGCGTTCTTCAAATGAATTGAAATACAAGATGGCGCCACGATCTCTTGATGTTTGTGATGAAATTCGCGTATGTTTCTTTGGGTAGTTTGGGTTAGCAGCTGAACACCGGTGAATTATCAACAAAATGTCGAATATGTCTTCGCAAATAAGCACCCGCGATAAATTACTTTACATAGTTGATGATATCGAACTAATTTCAAAGTAAGCTGGTGCATTTTAATCCCTAAAACAATGTCTAACCTGTTTTATTTCAACAGAGAAATGATCGAGAATGCCATTGCACCGAAACACGCAAAACTTTCCGCCGTCGACTATGCACAACTCACTGAACTTTTGGTCGCCAAAGACAACGAACTCAAAAACATGCTCAAACAAGCCAGTGAGCAGGCTGAGATTGAGAAGAAAATGGATCTACTGCAGGCAGAAGTCAACAGACAGGATGAAGATATCAATCAACTACAGAAACAACTGAAAGAAGCTGAACAAATTCTTTCCACTGCAATATACCAAGCAAATCAGAAACTTCAGAGTATTGCCAAGGCTAACAAGAGACCAGTGCCACCTGAAGAGTTGATTAAATTTGCACACAGAATCAGTGCTTCTAATGCTGTGTGTGCACCTTTGACATGGCAACAAGGAGATCCCAGAAGACCTTATCCTACAGATATTGAGATGAGATTAGGGTTCTTGGGCAGATTGAGTGATCCTATAAATGGACATTTATTACAGAATCCAAACAGTATGTCAGACTTGCATAGGCCAGGTGGGCATTCAGAGATTCCTGCCTCACAACAAAATCAATTTGCTTGGCATCCTTCTGGGGAGATACACATGGCTGTTGGGCAGGGTGGTAGTGTCCCAATGGATACTAGGAATCATAAACAGGAAAATGAGGATGTGGAAGTTATGTCAACAGATTCCAGCAGCAGTTCATCAAGTGATTCTCAGTAGTTTTAATAATATTAAGTATTTTTAGGTGTAAGAATAAATTTTATTCATTTTTTTGTACCAGTATTCAATGCCTGTTTGCTAAACCTTTTTAATTTAATATTCTGCAGAAATCTAAGCTCTCCCTCCCATTTGCATACTGTATCTACATTGAGTGCATTTGTAAAGTCAGGAATTTCAAGTCCACAAGTATTGTATTCTTGTGTTTCTCTTTGAAGTGTCATTTTGATGACATCTTCCCTGCCTGCATGTTGTCTGTTGTTCTTTCTCATGCCAATTGATCTTTTAAGTTTAATCTGTTCCAATTCTTCATCAAATCTGGTTAAATATAGTTCTATCATGGCTGAAATGTGTTCTGGAGCACATGTTGTGATATTCTCAGCCTGTCGTAGTGCAATAAGTTGTTCTCTGAACCAGGATATTCTTTCAGCTATTAAATTCTGTTTGATTGCTGTACCTAGTTTAGCCTTCTCACGGTTGGATTCCCTAAAAATTAACGTATTTTGTTATATATTGTGTAATACAGTTGTAAAGGTATGTTATGTACTTTTTCATTTGTTTTACAAAAGCTATGGTCTTCCTGCTGTTGGGATGCTTGCATTCCGATATGTCCTTAGGTTTCTTCCCCTGAAAAATATGTATATTAGTGAAAATATTTATAACATGAGCTTGCATATAATATTCTTACCATTTTAATTTATTTATTGAGTTTCAAATGTAATAAACGTAAAACATGCGTACAACCTCAAAATTCATGCGCGTAACACTTGAATATTATAATTTTGTAAGAAAGACAGGGCCGAACTATTTTCTTAAAATTAATTGTGGATAAAAAACTGACTAGTTTTATTGAAAAAAAGAACTCCAAATCCAGTTTATTTTTAAAAGTGATTTTCGGCAGGAGAATCTCCAGTTTTAATTCATTCAAAACTGAAATGTGTGCGTAGCGTTCATTACCCATAAGGAGTAGTTATTACCTAAGTAAATAGTCTGATAACAAAATATTACTAAGATAAATTATTCATAATCTACTTTTTTGCAATTTTCTTGCAAACGATTAAAGTTAGAAGCAAAATGCTTTCAGATTCTTATTCAAAGCACAACTCTATATTATGTGGCACTTGAAAATTTGCAATTATCTACACTAATGTAATAACTGAAAATGGTCAATAACTTGAAAACTACCAATTCCATCATTTTAATCGTTCATTTATATTTATAAAACGTGAATAAATTTTTTTCAACAATGTAAATGTTTCTCTTCAAACATTTATACTCTGTATCTACCTTATTCTCCTTCAAAAAGTGCACTGCGTACAATTTGCGTTCGGTGCAAGCAGTATCAGCGCACGCTTTATTCGCGTCGGTCGAGTTTACTTGATCGTAGTGGATCATAGTCGTCGGTTGATGCACACGCGTTTCTTGCGAGCTGCGGCCTTGTTCTCTTGTGAAATTGTTTGTGCTACTACCGTGGGGTTGTGCTCTCGATCTATTGTTTATTTGCCGGGCGTGCACAAGAAACTTAATTTGCATCATTCAGAGGAAGAAAATTGATACTTATTAAATATATTCGTTTCCAAATTCCTGTCATCTCCGTTCTTATCAGTTTTGTGTCGCAAACCAGTGAATTCCACAATCGCCACAATCGATTCAGCATCGATGCCATGGGAATGCTGCAAACTGCGTGGGACATCAGTTACAGTTCGTCACCGATACCCTGGTAACTTTATAATTGATTTAATATTTTTGATTCATGTACTCTTGCATTTTTGAAATCAATTATTATTGACTTCCTTGATGTCATAGTGATAATATGCACGCGAGAATATTATCCATCTATTAAATTCTTCCAACGTGGTGAAAATTAGTTGGTACACGCATAGAATTGTTTTTGTTTTCTTCTCTTCGCGCTTGTTTCTGCCCGTGTGTAAACAACTTTTTTTAAAGGCAAGCCTAATCGCGCGTAGTTGCTGTGTTTACAAGTCGCACCATGGCTTAGCATACGTACATGCCCATTAATAGTTGGCAATTTTATAAAAATTTGAAAACATGGTGTGGAAAACACTCGGCATCTCCTGAACTAATAAACTTTCTCCAAGCTTCTTGACGCCATATTATAGTCCAAGAGACGCTTTGTACAATGCATTTCATTTCAATCATCTAGACCGTTTGGAAGAGCCATAAAATGCCTTTTAATAGTTGGCAATTTATAAAAAATTGAAAAAATGGTGTGGAAAACACCCTGTATCTCCTGAATTAATAAATTCCCTCCAAGTTTTTTGACGCCATATTATAGTTCAAGAGACCCTTTGTACAATGCATTTTATTTTAACCTTCTAGACCATTTGGAAGTACCCTAAAATGCCTTTTAATAGTTGGCAATTTATGAAAATTTGAAAACATGGTGTGGGAAACACCCTGTATCTCCTGAACTAATAAACTCTCTCGACGTTTCTTGACGCCATATTATAGCCCAAGAGACTCTTTGTACAATGCATTTTATTTCAACCTTCTAGATCATTTGCAAGTTCCCTAAAATGCCTTTTAATAGTTGGCAATTTATAAAAATTTGAAAACATGGTGTGGAAAGCACCCTGTATCTCCTGAACTAATATACTTTTTCCAAGTTTCCTAACGCCATATTACAGTCCAAGAGACCCTTTTTTACGATGCATTCTATATAAACCCTCTAAACCCTTTGGAAGCGCCATAAAATGCTTTTCAAAAGTTAGCAATTTTATAAAAATTTGAAAACATAGTGTGGAAAACGCCCTGTACCTCCTGCGCTAATATATTTTCTCCAAGTTTCTCGGCGCCATATTATAGTTCAAGAGACCTGTTTTACGTTGCACTTTATTTCAACCCTCTAGACCGGTTGTAAGTGCCGTAAAATTACCTTCTAAAGTTGGCAATTTAATGAAAATTTGAAAACATGGTGTGCAAAACGACCTGTATCTTCTGAACTAATTGATTTTTTTGACGTTTCTCAGCGTCATGTTAGAATTCAAGAGACCCTCAACGCTATACATATCTTTTTAACCCTATAAACCCTTTGAAAGTGTCTTAAAATAGCCTTCGAATATTGCAACCAATAATTTTCATTTTTTGTTCGAATAACAGGGTCGAACTTTTTTACTTAAAATTTTTTGGTCGAAACACAGGGTCGAACTTTATTGTTAAAATTTTTTCGGTCGAAAAACAGAGTCAAACTATTTTACATAAATTTTTTCGGTCGAATTTTTTTGTTAAAATTTTTTCGGTAGAATTTTTTTGTAAAAATTTTTTCGGTCGAAAAACAGGATCGAACTTTTTTACTGAAAATTTTTCGGTGGAATTTTTTTGTTAAAATTTTTCGGTCGAAAAACAGGGTCGAAATTTTTTACTTCAAAATTTTTCGGTCGAATTTTTTTGTTAAAATTTTTTCAGTCGAAAAACAGGGTTGAACTTTTTGACTTAAAATATTTCGGTTGAACTTTTTTACTTAAAATTTTTTCGGTCAAAAAACAGGGTCTAACTATTTTGTTAAAATGTTTTTGGGTCGAAGAACAGGGTCGATTTTTTTGGAGATTAACTCAAGAACAAAAATGTCTATGAAAAACGAATGCATTCTTCTCTAAAATTGTAAATAGGGTCTAAAATTTAATCGAAATTAATAGTTCCATGCATAGTACAAGTACAATTCTATTCATGTTCTACACTACCACACTGAAAGTGTCAGTGTTCACAAATAAACATGTTTTCTTATCTCGTGCAATTCTTGTGCGATCGCCACGCGAACACCACGTTAGTCTCATTTTTGTTGTCAGGTGATCTGCACGTACATTTTCTTTATTATTTTTGAATTTCTAAATGCTTCTTCAACTGTGCGCGATTGTTGTGCGCCGTTCGTACCACGCGGTACGCCGCACGTACCACTCAGAGGTAAAGCGTGAGTGATGTTCCGTCGGCCGTCGAATTGTTTTGGTATTATACGCGCATTTCATCGTTCCTACATTGTGCATAATTAAGGTCCTTACAATTTATTGGATATGCCAAAAGCGTAAAATTTATTTTGCATCTAGGTATGTTCTCGCATTTCTTCATTCATATTAAAATCAATTTCATTATTTACTTTACTTGTGCTTACTTCAACCGCGTGGTCTTTACGCAGATAAATAATTTTTGTCTCTGTTTCAATACCTACCGTTGGCTTGCGTAGCACGTTAGTCTCACTTTTGTCGTCAGGTGATGCGCACGCACATTTTCTTCATTATTCTTGAGTTTCTTAATTTATCTTCGCGTTGTTACGTAATAATTTTGAATGCTTTTTGGATTGTGCGCGCGTGATGTGCGGCTTCGTTTAGTCCGGATTGCACTTTTATTGCGGCAGAAATTGTTAGCTGTTGATATTTTGTAACTGTAATGTAACTATTGTTAAATGTTGTCAATAAAACACAATGTTTGATTATAATCTCATTCATATTTTTTTGTGGTATCCTCTTTGTCGTTTTCAGTTTTAAATAAAATTGCACATAAGTCTTATGTGTGAGCAGCGATGTAAGATAACTAACTGTTACTCGAATTGTGTTGTTGTTTTTAAAAACATGATAAAAGTAGAAACATAAATAGAAGAATCAAATAAGAACAATAAAAACACTCGGTGGTCGAGTGGAGACGTGCACCTGCTGGCATGCTAGCAGACACGGATCGAAACTCAGGTGTTGAAGGCATTTTTCTCAAATATAAAAATATCAGATGTAATTTGGGTTGCATATATGAATTGCAACGAAATATGAGAGAAATTGAAATACAAGTGAAGGCAATATGAGAAGAAATAAGAAAGCAAGTGGAGAAATGGAGAACAGAGAAATAGAAAAAGAAGAAGTAGAGAATAGGAGAAGGTAGAAGGAAGAGAACAGAGGGTAGAGTGAGAAGAGGAGGAGATAGAAGAAAGACAACAGGGGAGGATCAGATTTTTAAATTTTTTGGCACGTGTCGTTATAACTGCCCACTACATCGATCCGTCCATTGCTCCCGGCCCATCCTACAGCTACGATGTCTCTGCGCTTCATCCCCGAAATTATCGGGCATATCAACAATTTTTATGGTGGGGGATCATCCCCAGAGAGAGGGAACTCCTTATAAGGACATTCCTTATGAGGACTTGTAAGAATATTTCTGAGTTTTAAGTCGTCTCAAGAGAGGTGACACTTAAAAATATTTTTACAAGTTCTGACCTGCACCTGAAATGAGAGAAGGAGCACACAAATCACACAGGATACCTTAACAATTTATATAGTGGGGATCATCCCCAGAGAGAGGGAACTCTCTTCGAGACCTGTTCCTGAAATGATAGAAGGGGTACACAAATTAAACAAGTGAATATATCTTACTATTTCTTTATTAACAATAGAATACAAGTTTAGATTTTACTAGTCAACAAAATACATGGCGCCATATTGACATCGAACTTACGACCTGCATCGTCGCGCACATATAAGCAAGTAACATGTCAAAATGTTCTGCCGGGATAAAGAAATTAGCAAATTGGCCATTTTCTAGGTGATGGAAATTGAAATCAAAAATTGAGGGTGTTACAAAAGAAAAATTTAAGTGCAGACAGGAAAAAATCTAAACACACTAATATCGCTTGTTTTTCACCGTTACTCTGGGAAACAAATGTACAGGACGTTACCAAAAGAAAATTCAAAGTGTACGAAGTTAAATTCTAAAACAGTCAAAGCAAAATTTTCAAGGATGTGAAGAAAAACGATTATACAAGGAGTCACAAATAGAAAATTCAACCATCAAAGAGGAAAACATCTAAACACTACAAATATTGCTCGTGTTCACCCGATGCTCCGGGAAACTAATAAACAGGGTGTTACAAAAATTAGAGTACAAAAAGAAATCCCTAAAACCACAGCTGAAGGAACATTTTCACGGACACAAAGAAAAGCAAATATACAGGGTGTTTCAGAAGGAAATGCCCAAGTTTAAAACAAAGAATACTCAAAACTCACAAATAAAAGCGATTTACTACGTAATGTTAGAAAAACTAATATACAGGGTGTTAAAATGGAAAATTTTAAAACCACAAATATGGTCATTATTCATATCAAGTCGAGAGAAATTTATACGGGCACAAATATATTTTAACATAAATTCACAGATTTTACCCGAAAATAATCGGAAAATAGGTGCTACAAGAACAAAAACAAAAATATATTGTGTATATATTTATAATTTGATGATACGAGTAGCATCAACTGCATAAGGTAACCAACGCGTGAAGCATCATCACAAAACATCCGGCGGAAAACATTCAAATTAGCCGACGGCAAGCGACGGCGCGTAGCAATAATACAGCCGGTAAATACTATAAAAATAACTAGTTACTTGTAAATATTAAAATATATGGAGACTATGATAGCGAAAAACTATTCAACGTACAAGATTTTGTTAGATCAACAAGAAACTTTTTAATTAAATGATGCTAAAGAGTGTAATTCGATTAAAAATGTTCAGCGAAAAGAGGAACGAGGAACAAAGGTCGACGGCAAAGTGAGCGTGGTTGACCACATGAATATTGTCATTTTAATAATTCTCAGATACTTTTTTATGATAATGCTTGTAATCATTAAATAATCATGCTTGTTATTTTCGGACACAGGGCTATGCATTCAGATAAAAATGCTACCACGTGTTAGTAATTTGCAAAATTAATATCCCTCAAATGGAATAATTAATTAATATAAACCGACTTAACTTTCCGCAAAAAAAATTACACACCTACCAGTGCAATGATGAAGAGATTTTTGATCCAGGAATATATCTTATCATCTGAAAACTCGTGCAGAAATTAACACACTTATTTGTGACTTAAGAACACTCTAACCGCCACAACTCATCAAACAAAACAGCTACACATGCTCGTTACGAATATTTTGCTGATGACGAAAAGAATACACGACGATTAATTGAATAATTGAAGTCTGAAAACGCGTGGCTAGTAGTGAGACGCGCTCGCGGACCATGCGGTGAAACGACTGCCGTGTGCGCTGCGCGTTGCCAGGTACAAGGCAGGTACGTCGCGATAATACACTTCAGTCCAACAAAAACGTTGTTTATAAAAATTCACAATATTGAAGTAACACACATACACGAAACTACTTTTACTTTCAATATTTCTCGGCATACGAAAAGAATATATTGGTTTTGGAATGCAATAAGGATGAGGAAAAACGGAAATTTGTAATTTACCAATACAAATAAATAATTTATTGTCTTCTAAGTGTCATCGAATAAGTTTACTGTATACGTTAGTTAATTATATTATTGATGTTCACAACATCGCGACTAATTTAAATATTCTCTATAAAAGAAAGTATTAAAATCGAAAGTATTAGAATCGGAAAAATAAGAAGTGAAAATAATTCATAACAAAAAAATACAAAAGGCGGTATGACCCTTTTATCCTAGTTTTTTTTTTCCATTCCGAATAGTACAATTTATATTTTATATTTTATGAACACGACTCACTACCGCTACCTTCGAACGGAGCCCTGAACACGAGTCACTTCTACCGCCACCTTCGTGGAAATGCCCTGAACACAAGTCACTTCTACCCAGGGCGTAGCTACCGCCGTATTTGCCGTATCAATTATACGGGGCCCCGGGCCACGGGGCCCCAAAGTGTGTAAAGAAAAGTTTACCTCCATATAAGAGCCTCCAAAAATTTTTATACGGGGCCCCGACAAGGCACGCTACGCCGCTGCTTCTACCGCTACCTTTGTACGGTGCCCTGAACACGAGTCACTTCTACCGCTACCTTTGTACGGTGCCCTGAACACGAGTCACTTCTACCGCTACCTTTGTACGGTGCCCTGAACACGAGTGACTTCTATCGCTACCTTTGTACGGTGCCCTGAACACGAGTCACTTCTACCGCTACCTTCGTACGGTGCCCTGAACACGAGTCACTTCTACCGCTACCTTTGTACGGTGCCCTGAACACGAGTGACTTCTATCGCTACCTTTGTACGGTGCCCTGAACACGAGTCACTTCTACCGCTACCTTCGTACGGTGCCCTGAACACGAGTCACTTCTACCGCTACATTCGTAGGGTGCCCTGAACACAAGTCACTTCTACCGCCGTCATGCTATGGTACACCGAATGAAACTAGCAAAACCCCCCTTGCGATATCAGAATCCGATAAAGAATTTAAACATTTCACAAAGGTTTTTCGCAATGTGATTCGTTTACCATATTACCAGTAAATTAAATATGTACGGCCCCCCTAATTTGCGGGCTGATTGAACACGCAAGTGAAATGTGAAAAAACATTTAACCGAGTAACATAACTAATTATAAACTTACCAATGCACCGCTCATCGGATTGGAAGGGTACGGCAAGTACTGTAATTAAAAGAAAACATAAGTTAAAACAAAAACATTTAATACAATATGATAATATTATATTCACACATGGGAGGAAACAAACTTTCTGTGCTAAGTATCGCAATGGTCAGATAGAAGTAACTTACTCAAACACGAATAGGTTTCCGATTGATCTAGCGACCGACCACCACCCACAATAACCGACAATATAACCGCACCATTATAATTTAAAATATAAACATCAAAAGCAAGCAAAAGAACATTTATGCACATTAAACGCACAATTACTTATTAAGAGCACACTGCAGATGCATATTACGACTAAGTCTATTGATGACCGAATATAATGCAAACTGATAAAACGAAACGCGTTGCGCGATATAGGCACGTCTGGATACGCCAGAGACCCGCACGAAACTAGCTGCAATCCATCAATAGAGCATTCACAATAAGACTCTGTGCCTGCTGCATAAACCCGGCAGGTAAAAGCCATAGATGCGCAAAGCCAGCGCGTGGATGCCACGCGACCTAGTGCGCGAATTCAATAGACGCGCAAAGGCGGCGGCGCGCTGAAGGCACGCGACCTTGTGGACGAATTGCAATAGACACGGTACCTGTGATAAGAACTAAACTAAAATGTGCTGCATGCGACAGCGCGACGAGAATTTTACGCGTTGCATCTCGCACGGCGAATGCGATAAGGAAGTTGTTTATACACAAACGCTGATATGATTCAAAACGAATACAATTCTATTTTATGATTTTTAGTTCATACTAGTGAACTAAAATTTAAATCATGAAATTATGATTTATATTTTATTGAAGCATTTATAGAAGCAGAGATTTTCGCAAAAGATATCAATTTTCTAATTGCAAAAAATCAGGAAAACATATAGTATAAATGATGCAATAATTTTACCTACCAGTGTATCAAACACCGCAATTCAAATGTGAGTAGATATTGAAATAAAGAAGAAACAAAACATTAGTTACATAAATTCGGACAATGAGATCCGGCGGAACCCAAAGTTTACCATAAATTTCATCTTGTTCTCCGTAATTATTTAAATTAGTATTCGTACCAGGTAACACATTGAGCCAACGAGTTGTGCACAAGTCAAAAATGGTTCGCACAAGTCCAAAATATAAATAATTCAAAATCACACACAAAGTCTGCCGGCCGGCGTCCGACGACACCCGATCAGAAATCCACGCGAAAATGCAATAAACACAAAAATTATTGAATTCCGAAAATTACATACGTGATAAATATTTACCGAATGACCAAACACGGCAATTAACACTAAATTCAATAAAATATAACGCGATATACCGAATTTACAACGAGAAACACGAATACTCGACGGATTATTCTTATCTGCCGCACGAAGTAAGAGCTGCCTGCGTGCCGGCATCACAACTGTGCACGTCGACTTTCACTCGCAGGAATATTTTTAGTTAAAACGTGTATCGTTGCGCTACCTGAGAATACTTTATTGTACCTCCAGCAAATACAAAGCGTTTCAAAAACTGTGGCGTACCTACATATGAGGCAGTGAGCGATTGCCTATGTATCAGTGAGTGGTTACGCACTTAAGTGGCCGTGTCCGTGTATCACACGTACACGAAAGTGCGCAAGCACCACCCTATCTAAACAAATAGCAATTTTTACACATAACTCAAAACTTAAAAGTCAAATATAAGAGTCAATAGGATATACTTATTCAAAATAAATGAATGAACGAATCGCAGATTCTTAATCTACGGACAATTCTCTATATAATGACAATGTTTTAATAATTTTTAATCAAATATCTAATTCCATAATGAAATCCCTACTTTGTATATAACTACATGCATGCATACTCACATTCATACTTAGTTAACTAAATTTAACTAAGTAATATTCGCATGCGCACAAGTACTGAGCGCTAGAGCTGACGTAATAAAACTCACTTTATCAGCTGTTTACTGTTTTTGTAAGTTTAGTGCAAGTGCGCAGATGCGAGTATCAGTAAGGTCAAGCGGTCGAAGTAATTGGAAATTAATATTACTTTTGTGAAGATATATTGCTAAATAGAACAGGATGGTCAAGGCATGGTTTATGGATAATAACCCAGAGAATCCCTGCACAGAACACCATAAGACACCTCCAGAATATGTCTCTTTAGATGATTTATTTGAATCCACAGCAGTGGAATATTTCTATGTGAGTTTTTACTTTTGTTTCTAATTTTCCGTGTCAATTTTAATGTCTGAGGCTTTATCAAGAAAACTAAACAAAACAAAAAATAAAAATTGTAAATTTGAATTTCTTATAACAGACTGATGATGAATATATGATTTTGAATACTTTATCTCAATAAAATTTAGTTCTATGATGTACCGTTTTATTAATAATTACTATTTTTCAATTCGTTTCTGTGCAAATTCAATTTTCTGGTTAAAATTGGCTGTATTATAGATAAATCCTGATGATAGAAGCAAACTCGATATAATCCGAAAGGAACGCGGCTACTCTTACGAAGATGAAATCAACTGCTCGGAAGGATGCCTCCCAAACTTCGAAGAAAAATTAAAAATGTTCTATCAGGAGCATCTGCACACCGATGAGGAAATCCGTTACGTTTTGGAAGGCTCCGGCTACTTTGACGTGCGCGATCGCAATGATAAATGGATCCGAATCCAGGTGAATCGGGGCGACTTAATCATCATTCCGAGCGGAATCTACCACCGGTTTACATTGGACACCACGGCAAGTTAAATCCGCACAGCCCCCTTAACGAATGTTTTACCTTTTAATCATTTCCAGAGATTCATCAGAACAAAACGCTACTTTGTCGGTGAACCTGTTTGGGTGGCTCACAATCGCCCTGCCGATGAGATGGAGTCCCGTAGGGAGTACTTGCAAAAGCTGGAAAACAAGCAATTCACACAGAAAATCTATTAATACACACGCCGCATGCAAATGAAAGTTATAAACAATGAATAAACCTATGGCGACAGAGGTCACACTCCATCACAGCCACAGCAATGCCTTTGTTATTATTTATTTAATGATCGAGTCTCATCGTTTATATTTATGTATAATACAATGTACATAAATTAACACTATTATTAGATCAATTACGAGTAATGACAATCATTCCCAGAGTATACACACTCGGCATCGCAATCAATAACAAGGTTTATGTATATGTTAGGTTTATGTGGTAATGTAGTTTATTTTACTTATGAGTTTTGTTTCGTCTTGTATGTTTAATAAGCATTACAATTAACATTACTTCTCCCCTCTGGTAAGTAGTTTCCGTTTAGTTAGTAGTATTTGTCATAGTTTCCATCATCGCATTATCAATTCGAAATAATAAATAACGTGTAAGAACAGAATACGAATATGTTGTATAAAAACTTAGAAAAAAGTACGTCTTTTATCTGTATAATATATACAGACGGTCGTCCATTAACATTTTATTATCTTTTAATATTTTGTAACAATGCTTCAAAAATGGTATGTTTTGTTTAGGGCTTGACTTATATAGCATATTTAGCATGTGTATACAATACGTTTTTCTCGCTAATTACATAATTTTAATTACTGTAATGGTATTTGTGTTTTCATTCATATCATCGATTTATTATCAACGTCGCGGCGTCGCCATCGTCCACGGAAACTGATCGTCAATGTATATATAAAAAACTGGAATAACGGAAATAACTGTCATCGTCTCATGCTCGCGCTGATCACATCGCATAAATTATTTACTTTAGGTATCGGTTACTTACACTCGGAAGAATCCCATTTCAAGCAGCTTCACAACGTGAAGATGCTTTTATTCTATTATACACGCACGCAAGTCTTACATAAATCTGTGTGTTTCGGTCGCATACGTCTCGCCCGCCGTGTGTTTGTCAATGAAATTTCTTGCTAATACATTGGTATCGTAATAATAAAACATAATTTCATAATGTGTCTACAAAGCAGGCAGCAGGCACACGCGTGTTTAATACTGACTGGCGCTGCCCTAACAACCCCAACAAAGAACAACAACAATTTGTCTCTCGAATGTACACGTTATCAATAATATTTACGATACAGGCTTACTCAATTACTTGCATTTGCGCTTTGCTTCCTCGGGTACGATTCGCATTCGGAATTTGCGCGTTGTGTGGGTACGTGTCGTGTGTATTTGTGTGTGTGTGTGTGTGGGTACATGTTGTGGTGGGGGTTCGGTTGGTCGTCCTTGTAACATCCTAGCTTCCTTATACACTTACTATTTATTACTAAATGTGTGTCGAGTGATGGCGATCTGTAAATGTGTATGTTTATTTCTTGCATTAATGCGCCGTCGTCACTTTTATAAGTGTAAGTTGTGTTGTAAAATTGTATCATAAAGCTCTTGTCGAAGCTCTGGAATGGAACGGCGACGAGAGGGAGGTAGAGCACTACTGGTTCGCTGCGAGCGACTGTTCGGAGCTGAATGATCAGGAGCAGCGGCTCAAGTCGTCCGGGTGCGACGCGCCGCCTCTGGCGATGCGTAGAAGATTGATGAATTCCACTTCCAGCACCTGCCTTGCCTAAAAGCAAATCGCACAAATGAGAAACGCCGCGCTCTAAAGTATGAACAGCAAATATTCTTACTTGAGTGTTCTGCGTTGGGATCTGCAGAGCAAGTGCCATGCTGTTGGCATCAAAATTTTCGTCCAACGCTAACAAAGCTCCATGAAGACCAGATTCCAACAAGTTGTTACCATATTCCTAGAGGGATAATCACAAGACAATTAAATTATGCCATTATGTATTGGAGGAGAAAATATTACCTTTAATCCTATCGAAGTGACCCATCTAATGATCCTTTCATTGCTCCAGACTAAAACATCCGAAATCACATTCTCGCAGTTTTTCCTCCTTTCTTCTAGTGCATGCCTATCGTAGTTAATCCTCTTTAAACACTGAATACCGAATTGCAGACTTGTTCTGTAAGTTGAAACACATCATAAATACTGCGTGATAATAATAATTAAAATGTTGTACCTATGAAAACTATCAACCATCTTTAGCTGCCCACGCAAATCCTTCTTGTTGAGATGATCCAACATGCGTGCATCGACCAAACACTCCATAAATGTGGTCCGGTACTGCGGCAGTCCAAGTGCTGGCAGCCATGCGTTTCCAATCCACTCGTGGTTCATATCCCCGAAGGCCAAGGTGGTGCGCGACGTCTTTGGTGCACTGGGCGACGTCAACGAAACCATCTCCTGAATGGCTAAGCGTAGCTTCAGTCGGTGCAGCGGATTGCTGATGCCGATCTCGCGCTGAATCTCGGTGTCGCTGAGCGCGCTCATGATGGCACCCGACTTGACATTGGCGCGACACGCGGCCACATACCACGCAGGCATACCCACCCACAGCTCCAGCCAGGCGACTATCGTCGGCCCGTTCCAGAGCGCAAATGGCGTACCTGCTTTCATCGCCTCGGCGAGCAGCTCGTGCCGGTAGTCGCGTTCCCTGGAATAGTCATGCATTAGCACTGACGACGCACTGCTGTTTGGTTGACCATACTTCTTCTTCTGTCGGCGATCGAAATCGCCCTTCTGTCCCATTTGCCCTAATTTGCCTGATATGCTCATTGAATCACTAAGTTCCCCGTCCGCTAGACCAATACTGGCTTGACTAAGACTAAGATTGCTTTCGCTGATTTCCTTGCCTTTGACCTGTACAAAAATAAAACAAATTATTGAAGTGAATTTCAGAATGTCCAGGGTTGTAATCAGTACCTTATCCTTTTTACTGAAGAATCTACCCAATGAAGACTTGATGCCCTTCTTCTTCTGTGCTGCGGCTGCTGCCGCCACTGCCGCCGCGGACGCGTCCCTCGGCATGCCCACCATTGCATTTTTGTGCAGACTCTCCTGGCTGCTATGACGAGAGGATAATGGTGACGGGGGTGTCTGGCCCGGCCTAAACACACTGTTCTACTCTAATCTAATCTCTAACAAGCGTACAGAGTAAACCCAGAAAGCAGCGATGGTTCGGAAAGGAGAAGTAAAATACGCATGCATCAAATAAATATGTACAAATGAATACTACCATCGTAGAGATGAGGAAAGGTTCAGATTTGAAGAAATAAATATCACAATATAAAGAGACAACCAAAACCAGCGACTAGACACAAAGTGTGACGGAATCAATGCAGTGATAAAATTCAACCAAAAATAAATAAAATTTATTGGTAAAACATTGAATAACCTGTATGTGGCAACTCCTGTGGGGAATCCACCTGCACCGGTTCGTCTAGATGTTGAACAACGGATTGGTTAGTGAAGGGAAAATGATTTGAAACATATTAGTCACAGATTGATACCCAACTTCCAAGTGATTCGTTAATTTTCGAAATCGAAAGCATCGCATTTTCCGTAAGTTTGAGCAAAACATACCTTCGCAGTTCCTCCTGACTGTGCGCCAACGCTTGTGCGACCCTTTCCAGACGCATGGAGCGCGCCGTTAGCGGCGATGCGCCGCCTCCGCTGCTGCTGTCGCCCATGAGCATGTCCTCGCGCGACATTTCCGCGCTGATGGGTGCCAATTGTAGCTGCATGGGAAGCTTAATAAGTTTATTAGGCAAACGACGATCGGCAAAGCAAGACACGAAAAAGGCAATTTAGAGATATCAAAGACAAGAACAAGAAGAGACAAAGACAGCATGCGGCGATAGTGTCTGGTGGCTGTTGGTGATCGATGTTGGGTGGGTGTGTGTGAGTCGTTTGTTAAAGCTTTTGTATTCATTACGCATTCGACTAGAATGGCGGCAACCACAACGGTATGTATAAGCGTTATCGCGATTCAATTCAAAGACGACGCTGGATGCCACGGCAAATGGCGTCCGCTTCGCTGATTCACATTCCAGTATACAAATTGTTACAAGATGGCGGGCTCGAAGGGTGTGATGTGTTCAACACAAACCTGGCTGTTCGGCAGCGACTCGGATAAGGCGCCTGGACTCATCATGCCATGATACTGGTGCAAATGCGCTGGTGACATTGAGGCCGGGGCCTTTTTAAACAACATTAGAAGACCATTTTTAGAGTTTCCCCAACATACATTCCGGCACACCAGAATGAGCGATTCGTCGATGCGTCGTCGGATTACATCGAAATGATTTGTGCGAGAAATGAATTCGTGTACATTGTACAATATGTTAACAATTTGGAAAAGTTGAAACGTTAATTATTGAAGATAATGATAATGATAGTAAAACACCAAACATTAGTAATGATCTAACATCATTGTCTAGTAGCCATGTGAAAAATTGATTGCTTACCGTGTGATATTTATGCATGTAGTCCCTCTGTGGCGAGTGGTGGCTCTTGGGAGTTGAGCGTCCACTGACCGGTGGACTCTGCCGCTCCAAACTTCTCCCTCTGGCCAAAAGATTCATATGTTCCATACTACCAACACGTGACTCCAACTCCTCAGCTCTCGCCTCGGTGGTTTGTTTCTCTTCCTGTATCAACCGAATCTCGTTGTTGATGGCGTCCAACTGCTCCTGCAGCATCATCGCCAACGTCTGTGCGTCCGTATGCCCCGAGGGGGATAAAATGTCCGCCGTACTAAAGAGACTCTCATTGTCGTCGCATTCAGCGTCACTGGAAACATCAAACGCCTGCTGTACATTGGCAAGCACATGCGCCTGCTGCAGCTTCTCCCATTCCTGTTCAGTCATCGAACGCGCAGCGAACGCAATCTTATTGGGATCGTCGTCGATCGGGGTGCGCGTTTTATTCGTCCGACGCGGCAGCGAATGAGTGTCGAAACTGGAATGACTAGCACTGCGCGAAAAGGACGCCGGGTCCACGGCGTTCGGAGACAGGCTACGCGTGAGCGCATCCGTCTGCTGAATGTTGTAGGCAATCTCCTGCTGAAGCATCTGGCGCTTGACATTGTCAATCTCCAATCGGGACTTGCCCAGCTCCTTCATGATCTCGGCCTTTTGCATTTCCGTCTCCTCCATGTACTTGCGCGTCTTTTCAAGTTCGGCGGTGAGGCCGTTCTTCTCCTCCAGGGCGTGCATGCGTTCCTTGAGGTGCACCTGCAGACGATCATTAGACTCCGAAAGCAGCTTGTCCACAGTGGTCGACAAGCGCGTGTTATGCTCCTCGTTCATCTTGAGTCTTTGGTTAAGGCGAACGAGTTCCGCGTTCTTCTCCTCCAAAGTGGCTTCGAGCCTTTGGATCCTATCCTCTGCGGAACCGTGGCGTTCTTGGGCCTGTTTCAAGTAAGGACAATCAAGCATCAATCATAACAGCGTGACATGGTAAACAGTCACTTGCTAGCAAAACTATTTTAGACTAAAAACTACAAAAACGGTTCTTCAATACTGTACAAGAAAATATAATTACAAACACTAAATAAATCATCACAATTGTATTTTTTGAACCGCTTTTGAGAGCTAAGATGAAGATGTATTCGTGCAATTGCCAGGTACAAGGCTTCTAGGCTCACAATCAATCAAATTCTGTCATTTTCAATCTACAAGATAGCTGTACATATAATTTCAGTACCGACATATTAAGTAATTGTTTGATTAAAATTTAGTTCTGTCTACAACTACAGCTAACACATCGAAAGCAACTCGCGTCATTTTACAATTTACTTATTTGCATATCGGCCAGAAAACTAATTTCCACACAAAACACTTATGAATATGCATAAATGTGCAGCTGCACTTCTTAAAATGCACAAGATTGAAATTGTTCCAGTGACAAGTTTTTCTTTTGCTTTTGTTCTCGTGCTCGAAACTCGCAAGACCAAAGTGTAATTAGAATTCTATACATATTCATCATTCAAAATATGAATACGCTGTGTAAATATAATATTTATTAAAAAAGTGAGTAGAAATTGAAAAAGTGGAGTAGAAACAAAGCAATCCGTCGAAATACGCACATTGAAAATAATAGAACTAGACATTTATTATGATTATTATTATTAGAAATGTATATAAGTGAGCTTGGACCGCGTACCTGGTTTCTCACCTGCGTCAGCGCCTCCATGCGCGCCTTCAGCTGCTCCTCCATCTCGGGCATCTTGGCAAACTGCGCCAGTTTTTGTTCGGCCAGCTCGAGCTTCTCCTGAATGGCGGCGATCTTCTCCTCTTGCAGCTGGAAGCGATCACACGCAAAAAATGATTAATCGTCGCAGGATGAGCATGTGGAATCGCCGCAGCGTAATGAAACGTGAGAACCGAATAAATCTGCTGAAAAGATTTGATGATACCTTCAGTTGTGCCTCCTTGTGCTGCAGTTCCTGCTCCAGTTTCTCGTTGAGGTCGTGAAGCGAGGTGGACTCACGCTGTGCGCTCAAATAACGCTTCTCCAGAGTGGTGATGCGCTCCTCCTGGTCTTCCTTCTGCGCGACATTCTCGCGCAGATCACGCTGCAGCTTCGAGTTGGCGTCCTGGGACTTGAGAAGCTCCTTCTGCGTCTTGGCGAGATTCTCCTCCAACTCACCGACGCGGTTCGTCATCTCGGCGACGCGCCGCTGCCACGTGCTGATCTCTCCAGTCTATCCAAACACAAACACACCACATGTCATAAATCACAACAAAAATAAACTTACAAAAGAGGATATAAAAGACTACGCTAACTAGTGTCCACTACAAGCGAAGAGTCGTAGAGTTTACCTGTTGTTCGAGGGCCGTTTGCAGGTCGGCGATGCGTGCCGCACTATCAGTATCCGACTCGACACCACCGTTCGTCAGTCGTGGTTTTCCAGCAGCCTAGAGAATACGGACACAAACATGCCACATCACGACATCTAATTACATGATGGCAACGCATGCTGGTTATCACTGAGAGTTGAATTCGCAGGGAGGTCAACAAATTTAGTTTTTGGAATGATTATAATCACGAAAGTCAGAAGAGAATAAATAGAATACTCAAGGCTTCGAAGAGAAAGAATTTGAAGAAAATTTTGGAAAGCTCAATTCTGATCGGGTGGATCAGGTCATGCCTAAAGCAGCGATCGAAACAGTTGTCAACCTGTCCCTTCAATCGAAACATTCAAACTCCAGCCGCGTACAAATCAGTTTACCTTATGTGAAATATTGTTCGTGACTTGGTCCCCGGACTCGATCTGGCCATTCTCCTTCGGTTTATCTTCTACAGCAGGTACATTTGAGGGCGGGCCCCCAAGTTTATATTGTTGCAACTGCACAACCAAAACATCATTCATTATCATCTTGTAAATCTAGTTAAACGTGATATAATAAAATACATACTTCTTCTTTGGTTAATGCTAACTCCTCTTCTAACGACGAATTTCTTTCTAATGCTACCCTTAATCTTTCCCTGACCTGCAAAGAAAACGGAAACACATTTTCAGCACACACGTTCGACGTTCATTAAAAAGAGATTTATGAGGTGTGTGCAGGGGACGAAAAAGTTTGCCTCCCGACGGTTGGTTTATTATTAGCGCACGTACTTTTTCATCCAGCGCTTTGTGATGTTCGAAGAGACTTTTCAACGCCTTCAGGACCTCCACCTCGCTCGACACGCCCGACTGCGCGGCCGCCTGTCGCTTCACCACCGTCATCCTCAAGGAGCGCTCGTGTCTGGATACCAGGCATTCCAAGTGTTCCAGGAGCAGCTGAAAATGAGAAATCCCATCGATTAGCGACCAAATGACAAATTGCGATACATTCGCGGTAAACATCTCGACAATTTATCAACACACAAAATGCTGCTACGAGGAGGAGAAAATACTCGTCGTAAATATTCTCCTCCGGATATTTAATTTTATTCCCTCATTCGATGCCAGCATAAACCATTTCCTCTGTGAAATGGCATTTGTTTATGTTTGTTTACGCGTTATAGATCTGCAAGATAAATAAAATCGAGTTCAGCCCGGGATTCAATACCTAGCCCCGAGAAATTTCCATAATGCAGAAATCGCTCCTAAAAACGATAGCACTGCAGTGCACCGGAATGAAATTGCATTTGCTTTATTGCCTAGCGGCATCATGCGTTCGCCTCTGGGGAGAAAGCAATTTTCAGGTAGTAATCTAAGCGTTGTATAAACAAGAGATGGCTTTAAATATTCAATAAAGCTAACACGGCCGTCCGCCCCCGGTTTCCAACCTCCGCGGCCTTCTTCAGCCCGATCGAAACACAATCTCGATTATATATATAAAGTTTGCTCGGCTATGAAATATCCGGCAAAGCTCCGCCAACCAGTCAACCAACCAACCAACCCAAAATCGGTTAGCAGAAAGAATCGGATACTTACAGCCTAAATTCCAGACTCCAGGCTCAAAAGGACCGCAGAACCGCGAGCAAAATCAGAGAAAACTCCCTCGACGTGCGCGTGGTTTACAGTTCTCTGTTTTTCGGCGATTTGGCGAGTCTTAAGCCCCGGCAGATAACCCGCGCTATCTGACACGACTCCCGCCTGGTCAATTAATTTGTTTCTTTCATCCGCCGGAAAAGCCCCTTAACAAACCTCTTACAACTCGCACATTCTCCACCCCACCACCGCTGGCATCTTCGGGGCTAATCTCAAGACGAGCGCCTGTGTGCATCTGTAGTCGGTGGGATTACGCGGCTGAACGATCGAAAGGGTGCTCGAAAGGCTAAAGAGCTTCGGCGCTCAGCCCTCTCGACTCGATAAATTTTATAAACCTTGCCTTCACTTTGCTTACCTAAAATGGTAGTAGTAGCAGCACGCACCCTAACTTTTCCGGTTACGATGATATAATATATCCGGAATATATCGAATGCACCCCCGGACACTAAACTAAGCATATAAGGAGCGTTTTTTCTTCTTCTGGGGCCGGTTGTGCCTCATGTGCGTGTGCATCATTAATATCGTGTTGACACCTTCGCCGCCCCCGCACGACAGCCCGACTTCAATTTGCAGTATTTCTTGTGTGCTGCGCGCCAAGGTTCCTTTTTCATTTTTGCCACGCTCGGACCATTATTCCAAAAACGTCCCGGGCGCGTTTTTAAGAAAGCGTGTAGGGTAGGAAAAAACAGACTGACCGAAAAGAAGAATTATGTATTCGGCAAGACCTTTAAACGTTTGCAACTTTCCAAGGGGTAAAAGCAGTCTCAAATTAGAAGAGAAAAAACGACGATGAGAAAAAACTTTACCCCCACCACGCAAAACTGTTTCGGGGACTAAATGAAATTTGCGCCAAACTGATATTAATTTTCAACACACCGCATCAAGGGTCACTGCGTCGGAGGAGGGCGCAAAAGTTCATCAACCACCCCGCCAAACACATGGCAAACACATTTTAATATCGAGAGCAGAGGCAAAATGAAAATTTATACTCGTCGAGGGGGTGGGATGGCGGTGGGACTATTAGCGCGCAATTCATAACCTCTATGAATTTGTAAGCATACACTCTCGCACACACAAAGACATAAATTCCGCAAGCATATTGGCGAACGAATCAGAAATTACGCATTATATCGAACGCGCGAATAAATACCAAGAGCGCTAAGGGTAGTTTGGTATTTTACAGCATCGTCGAGGCGCATTATGGTTCACCGAGATGATGGACTAAAATGATAAAAATTGCCGGCCAACTTTTTAAGTGCGCCGAGTTTTAAAATATAATTTTATCCACCACTAAGCCCGAAACCAAGAGGGGTGATTTTCTAAAGAGGTGTAAGTAAAAAGTTTTTCAAGAGCATGGCAAGAGACCCGCACACAAAACTGCGCTTCTATGCGTCGCGGCAAGTTTTTATTACTCGAAGCCCTCTATGTGTGCTCTGATCGCTTCGACGCGACGCGTATATTTTTATATGCCCTGCACAAACCATTTTCATTTGCACTAGCTTTACTGCGCCAGCGTTAAACTAAATTAGCACCTCGTCTATTGGGGCGTAAAACGGCGGGCGCGTATTTTCTCGACTCAGTGAACCTTTCCGCGACGCTGCAAAAGGTATCGCCGGTGTGTCGAAGGGGTGTCGACACGCATTCATCCACACATCGCCCCGCCAACGTACGTGAAGGCTAATATGCTCGACTTGGTGCGTTTAACCACCACCCACATACACACACACATGGATGTACCCGCCGTCATCGATCGCCTTCGACACGAACGATTGATTAATATGCATGCGTTGCCATCGCATTCTAATTAGCAGGTTTGGTGCTGGTGGGTAATCATCCCTCTTGCATCTTCACGTCATTTACCATACATAACCACAACCATGCATCATCCAAATGGTTCCAGATGAGATTAAAATAAATTTTTAAACAAACCAACTATAAATCACATTTTTTCATTTTTCATCCCCCAAAGAGATAAATTTCCAACTGTCGTTTAAAAGTTGGCTTTAGTTTAGCACCGCATATGTATCTCTAGCAGTGCAAACTTTTACGTAACAAATTGTCAACGCTGTTCCACTTTTATAATACTACGCTGGGTTGTTCTTTTGTGATATTAATGTTTCGTGTTTGGGTGTTTGCTCGAGCGCGAATTTGACTGCGAAAGTTTTGCGCGTGCATCAAACACACTCAACATCGACGCGGACTCACGAATGCACTGGAACGCAATAATCCGCGGGCATAATTCAATTCGTGTCGATGGCGCGCGCGCTACCAGCCGAGGGAATTTGTGTGCTCGATGTAAATGCAAACTACTCGACAACTTTGGCATCTAACTTTTGAACCCCCGCCGAAAACTCATCCGCACAAAGTGCAACACTAATCTATTTTATCTAATAATTTTGATGCATTTAGCGCAACCACAAAATTACAAACTAAATCTAAAGGATTTATGTATTATGTAGACTTTGTAGGCCTGCAGGAATTCGTACAACTTGTCTAACTTGTAAATTTTAGTAGCGCAGAGAGTAAATAAAGAAGTTGTAAATGGTGTTCCGTTTTCGGCGTTTCAGCTGGCAGATTGATGGTGTCAATATCCAAGCAACTTGCGTTCATTAAGTAAGCGATTTCGGGCTGTTTTACACGAATTTATACGAGCGCACGACGTGCGAAATGAAGCCAAATAAAACAACATCCATAAAACGTCTAAAATCAAATTTTACTGATATAAAAAAACACACGCGCACTGACCGAAGTAAAATGCTTGTTTCTGTCAAATAAAACTTTCGAGTAAATAATATATACACTCAAGCATATGTGTGGGTGGTGGTTGCGACGATAAAGTATCAAATATATTCGCCGGTTATTCCCAAACATTGCGCACAGCAGCAAACTTTTCGAAGTAATTTCGCGCGTTGAATTATTTAACACGACGCATCCACCATCGCCATCGATTCGGCTGTCGTGCTTAAAACTTATTTTTCCAGTCAGAGGGAAAACCAACCACCTGTATTCAACGTCCAACGTAAAGACATCCGCGCGCGGAATACGAAAACAGCCGCCGTCAGTTCGAGCATCTCCACGGAGCCCGAAATATCGGCGTTTGCACGTGCGCTCGTGTTTTTCTTTGCGCGCACGCCGCTATGATATGGGAATATAATTTCTCCCAAATGGCGCGTACGCTTCAGATAGTCGGAGCATCATTATTTCTAGTTGATGTACATACGAGTAGTGAAACATATTACCGCATGTTTTATCGTCAAATTGTAAATTGTGCTTTAATTTAGTGTTATTGAGTCGTAAAAACCTTTAAAAAATGTTTTTAAATTTATTATTTTCTAGGTAATAAAAAAAATCTTGACAGAGTATTAAAAAATACTCCGAATTCAATTCTTCACGTCGTAATTGCGAGACTTGTTCGTCGGTTACAGGGAGAAGAAGCTCGCGGAATGCACTTTGGTTGGTCGGAAATTTACTGCGAGCGCGGGCCGAAAATGGCAATAACTCACCCGCGTGTTGTTGCGTTCCGCCTTCAGCTCGGAGATCTCCTCTTCGCGCTCGAGCAGATGTTCGCGCGCGCCATTCAATTCCTTGGTGAGCGTCGCAAATTCCTGCAAGCAGAGAAAAAGAAACAATAAGAAAGTGGAATATATTCGAGGCGCATTTAATATGCGTCGGGCGCGCGCCGCATCACCATCACCAATTGCAGAAACTGGGTGCAAAGTGGCAACACCACGTCGACCATCCCCTGGATTACATTTGCAAATTCTCAACTCCCAGCGCATGTTTGCGTACATAGTGCTTGCACTACCGCAATTCTATCGGGTCTATTAAATTCCCAGATAACGCCCGGATTTAATTCACTTCGCTCTTCCGCAGCTTCCTGGTCGCACGAGTCACCAAAACAGTAGAAAAAGAAGCACCGCATGAATTTCCACCTCTCCAAGGATGTAATTCATGCGATAACGTTGTCCGGGCAGTAATTAATTGAGCTTACATAAACTTAATTATAAAAAAAACGAACACATTGTAATTAATAGTTCAAGTTGAAGCAAAGTTTACAATTACAATTTTTCATTCGGAATGTTTCTCGAATTGAAAGTTCTCTTCATAACAAATGCAGCAATAAAGTGAACTCCAACTGTTCATTTATCAACGCTAGCAAGCGCAGCGACGGCGCGCCGTGGAAAACAAGTCCACAAAAATAAATCGAAGCAAAGTGCGCGCCATTAAAGTGGAAATTCAAGAATAGCAGTACAGAGCGCGCAAAGAGTGGTAGAGTACAGATTGTTGTTCATATACACAAATGCCGCGTGGCAGCGTGTGGCAGATGCAGCACGCGCCCCCCAACGCGAACTCTTTTTCGCCTTGTTACATTAATACTTTTCCATTTGCGGGGGCGGCGAGTGCGTTTCACTTCACCCGCTACAATTTTATTATCGCCGGAGCGTGAAAAGAAAATAACATTCGATAGATTGTAACAAAGCAGCTCAACAACACAACAACACGAAGAACACAAAAATAACGCAAGCAAACAGAAGAAACGAAGGAATACAATGTCGAATCATTTATTATACGCCATACACGTACGTATTGTTATTCAATCCAGACTTATTAAATTATATCCAAAGCCCTCAGCAGTAAGATTACTGCTAAATCATGAAAACGTAAAGATAACGCAATTGTATCAACATACAGAATGCGAGAAATTAACTAAACAAGGATGATATCCTTTCAGTCGTAGTCGTAAACTTGATGTTAATTAATTTCTGTGTCGCAGCATCGGAAGTTGATTTGATCATGACGCCAATGCGCGTGCAAATATTGCGGACGCAACAATCGAGATTAATTGAATCAACAACAACATGAGCATCATGCGTGACGCGCATTGCGAGGTGTCAGGTGTAAGTGGGACTCGTGTCGATTGTGAAATTTAAATAGAGAGCCCGGTGCACAGCTGCCGCCAACATTGTGCACTAATATGGATCTATAGAGATAGTGTGAGTGCTTTCAGCACAATTACCGACAGCCAGACATAGCAACAAAAGCGCGCATCGGATATGTGCAAATAGCGAGTGCTATTTTATGTAATTTCCCGGCTAAAAAAATAAAAGGCAACATTTTTACAGCATACAACATGCGTAACCAAGTGTAAACTCAACTCAGTAAAATGCGAAGAGAATACAGATAGAAATTGAAATGAAAACGGCGAAAGGGACCCTTAAGAGACTCGACTAACCACCACACCGCTTGAATTGCCCCAAAACCGTCGGACTATTCAACATTTGTTTGACGGTAATATTCTGGACTTCCGGTGCGCGAATAATATCATCGCGCGCCTCAGCGGCAATGAACAATGCTGTTTTCTTCGACGTGAATGTTTTGTGCGCCGCGCGCACACACAACGACTAATTGTGAACATTCATTCGGAATATTAGCGCGCAAACACAATTCCACAACGGGCAAGAACTATAGAATGGAGTGTGTGTGAAGAAGACATAAGCGAGGACATGTGTAGAGGAGAAGAGTACTTTGATATCTCACCTGGAAATAAATAGGAGTAATACTGGAGCGTGGACGAAGCATCAGCGTGTCGTTAGCATTGTTCCAAGTTGCTCAGCGAGCATGTTTGCATTAATTACGAAATTAGTGCAAAGTGTACTCTAACGTTAAACAGGGATAAATAATCATAATGAAAATAAAAATAAAATTACGAAAACTATGTTTTTGCATCTGACAGAAAGTAATTTAGTGGAAGATATCAAAATGCCACACAAAACGAATCCGTAGAAATATAAAATAATCTTTTGTAAGGAAATGAATTTTCTTTCCTTTCTAAAAATCAATAATCGTATCAAAATTCAAATATTACCATATTTATTATTAATTAATTCGCCTGAGGAGGAATCGCAATTGCGGTTTGGAAATAAAATTGTTTTCTGCGCTACGAAACCCTCGTCGCCGTCGTCCCATTCGTAGCACGCACGTATGCTCCCAGCCGCCCCCGCCGCGTGCATGCACAAAGTCGAGTGCGTTAACGAATAATCGCGGCTTCGTTAGAACAAACCACGGCTGATGCTCGACACAACGCGCGCCCATTAGAATTTATATTGGCTGATTTTCATATTTAACCGGCTTATAAACGAAACATGCAAAGAATAATGCAAAACCCTATGACAATCTCTACACTCGCTCGTACTAGTTACCAGTTTTATTTGTTTGCATTACGAGCACAATCAAAATCAGCGTATAAAACAAACATTTTATGAAATCACAACTTTAATTCCGAGGTATTAAGATGGTTCAGTTTATAGTTGTGTGTGAAATAAGTTATAATCACAATTTATAAAGCTACAACAACGTAAATCCAATCGAAGTTGGCGTTTTTTTCCAGTTCGGGACAAAGTTTAATGCGGTTAAGGGATTACGACAACTCCGCGGTTATGTGACACGAGCTTTAAAGCATCGAAAGTAATAAAACTTTTTCCCGATACACACAAAACTAAATTATTTAAACCCCTTGGAGTAAAAAAAACTTCAAATCAAACATTTACCACACATAAATCATCATTAAACTTTAAAATTTCTACAAAAATATAAAAAAAAATTAAAATTTACATACGTGATAAGTTAACTCTTGTTTAACGCATAAAACACGATAGATTAATAGTGGTGGAGGTATTCAAGGGTCAAGATTGATTTGAATTGCCCTCGATACACCTTTATCCTTTATCAATCGCCCGTATAACAGGCGATTGAAGGCACGTAGGCGCCTCCACCATATAAAAACCAACAAGCATTCATCTTCAGCCAGTGAGAAACACACGCGCAAGAAAAAATAAAAACGAGGTCGATTGACTAGACACTTGACTTGTGTTGCTTTTGAGCTTCAATCTGCGGGGACCTTTGACCTTTCCCTCTCACCTGGATTAACCACGTTCAATTGTCTTTTAATATCGCAGGTGAATCTGTTCGCTTCAGTTCAGCGCATGAGATTTTATTGATTAATTCCGCGCAGGAATGAAATATTTACCAGCACCAGCACCTTTCTAGTGAACGATCGTCAAGCATGCATTAAAAGTAATGAGGACGTGAAGACGCGAAGTGTGGAGACAGCGTGTGGAGGAGTCAAGCAGTGACATCATGAAAACTTCCCGCTGGTCTTATTTCCGTCCCTCATCGTGTCGACCGCATGTTTATATTTATGATATTGGACATCTCGAGTGCATCTAGATGCTGGTCACGAGTTGACTCTATAGACTAGGGGCCCATGTCCAAAAATTTATGGGTCATATGAACCATCAGGTGACCTATTTAGGACGATATAAGATCATAAAATAATAAGATTTAACACTATGCCGTCACTTGTAAGCTGTCCAACTGAGTGCTGGTGAGAATTTGAAAGTACAGGCAGAGTGAGTACATTTCGGTCATATATTTTTGTACGGCATTTTTACCATCGATAGATCTTTAAAAAATAATAAGAAAGCGCGCAGTGCCGTAAAAAAATAGTGCGCCACAAAGTCGGTAAATTTTTCTGATTTTCGAAAATTTCCAGGGTAAATTTGGTCATTCGATTTTGTACGGCATCAGTTTCGTACTGTTTCAATACAGCTTCTAATCCATTATTCCGCAACGCCGTACAAAAAATCATGCGACAAGGGGAAAAATTGAGGGTTGCAACCCCCTCTCTTTCCGTGGTCCAGGGGGTGATTTGAAACAACCCAAAATTAATTTATTTCGAAAGTATTTTATGCATAGATAATATTTTTTTACATGCCGTACATTTTCGTTGGTCCAAAGGTTTGTAGGGAAAAAAAATTCAAGGAAAAATTCATATAACGAAATGTAAGAAAAATCCATATAACGAAATGTAAGGTGAAATCCATGACGATATTTTTTTATACGGCATTTAGATAGTTTATTGTCACTTAATGCAATAATTTATAAAAAGTTAATGCCGTACAAATCTGAAAGTTCATATTGATAAAAAAGTGATAAAAATATTAAATAAATATAATTTACATATATATCGCTTACGGAGCGACGTTCTGTTACGACGTTTATAGTATTATAGTATTATAGTTTATAGTATTATAGTAGTTTATAGTATTATAGTATATAGTAGTTTATAGTATTATAGTAGTTTATAAAAATAGTTGTTTTATTTATTCACATCATTATAATGAAACAAATCAATTATATATATTTATCAATAATGTTTGAAGCATATACTAAACCAAAAGTATACAAAACTGTTGATACTGGGATTGACAGTTTCAATTCTTGGATATTATATACACACCGTTTCACTTCAGTTAGACGTCATAATGATTTTATCATATTATCAATTGTTCTCTTCAAAAATATGTTAATGCCGTACAGTATCAGATGGCCATAAAGTACCCTTAAAATGGTAGCGTCATTTTCATCAGCCTAAAAGATATGGTCTGCATTAAAATGTACGGCATTATTTTTTCCTAATTTAATTACCTTAATACTATTTAAAACAAGGGAAAAATGTAGAAAATTGCTATCTTTCATTAATCTATGAATATTTAAACTTTTGCAATAATTTAAAAAATTTCAGTTTTTGTATTTCTCTGTAATT